AGGAATTATAAAGCTGAGTTGCACACTGACTTTGTCATTCTTCAGAGAGGCAATGTGATTTCTGATGCAGATGATTTCTGATAGAACATATTTAACTGAAAATGATTTTAGGCTTCTCAGCACAACTGGGTGCTGTTGTTCAATATATTCAAGATTGAATATGACATAATTTAGTATGAATACAACAGCTGCTGAGTAGAACTAAACATTGCTTTGACATAATATTAACTGCTACAAAACAAGGCCAGGCCTCTAAGTGCAGATGAGTAAAGGCTTCAATTTCAAAACTTGAAATATTTATACAGCAGATTGCCTTTTCCTCCAGGTAATTATTTAAGATCTCTCATAACTTAGACATTTTGTCCTACACTTTTCATAGAAAAGCATATATATTTTGACAGCTCATTCAGGAATCTGTTAACTGTTTTGTACAAAATAAGATTCTCTACACTCACATACCTCTTATGTACATAACAAAATATCACTTGTATCACCTGTGCTTCTTGCTGAAATGCCAGTTGTGAGTAAAAACACGGAGTAAAGGTTGAAGCTATGGTGTAGCAAACAGGAGTCCAGGTAAGTATGAATGCATAAGCAAAGTATAATAATATTTACCACAAAGTATAGTATCAGATTTCAAAGGAATGGCTTTTATGTATGACAAAAGAACAAAGATCAAGTGAAAGACACCTACTTTTTTTTTTTATTTTTTCTTTAAAAAAAAAAGATACTACTTCTTACAGATGACCTACAGAAAGACACGATTGGAAGAATGAAAGCACCAGTGAGCCTGAGGTAGAACATCTGGCAGCAGTTTGGTGCCAGTGATCTCTTCATTGTGACTCACAAATCTGGACACTATTGCCCATAAACAACAAAAACAGATACTTCGAAAACACTGAAGGAGCTAGGAAAAACAGCATGCATATGGATGGGAGCAGCTGAGAGTCAGAATCCAAGACACCTTTTCATACTATAAATCAAACAGGACAAGGACCTTCTTGATTTTAAGAGCTTAAGAGCAAATGCATCATACAATCATTTAGGTTGGAAAAGACCATTAAGATCAAGTCCAACCGTAAACCTAACACTGTCAAGTCCACTAAACCATGTCCCTAAGCACCACATCTACATCTCTTTTAAATATCTCCAGGGATGGTGACTCAATCACTTCCCTGGGCAGCCTGTTCCAGTGATTGATAACTCTTTTACTAAAGAAATTTTTCCTAATATTCAGTTGAAAACTCCAGTGGCACAACTTGAGGCTGGTTCCTCTTGCCCTTGGCTTGTTACTTGGGAGAAGAAACCAACACATCATGGCTTACATCCTTTCCCTCTGAAGAAAATCTCCATATTACCTATGAACTGTGCTATTCCTTGAATCACGTCCAGGCATCATCTGGGAGGATTATGGTTGGCTCAGGTCAAAATCTGCCAGGGAGAGCGTTAACAATTCAATAGGATACATGACTGCGGAACACACACAGTGTCGAATACTTTACTATACTAATACTAATACTATACTAATACTGAGTGTTACTGATTCCTAATTAGGATATTAATATAGACAGACACATTCTTAATGGACGTTTCAAAGTTTAATCAATTTAAGGCTCCAGTTAACAGAGGGAACACACTTTTTCCTCTAGCTATCTTCACAATAAGCTCACAGCATCTTTAACTTCCTTTTAAGTGCAGCTGCAATATTTCTTTAATACGATGTAAGAGGTGTAAGGGAGAGTATTTACTGAAATCCAGCCTAGTGCAAAGTATTTTCTCAATGTAATAATGTTCCATACAGTTTTGATGCATCAATTGATTATGCATTTCTACTCAATTACACTATTTTAGGACAAAAAGTCTCTATGAATGTGAAATTAAATCAAGGTCAATGCTAGAAACGTGAAAGAGTTATAAAACTGCAAGAAAGTGTAACAGGAATATTTCATGCACATTAGGAAAAAAACGAATTCTCTTCTATATGGTCATGATTAAGTTAATCCGGAACAAGTTAGACATTGCAAATAAGAGGAAAATTACTACTGAGCAAAAAATTTCCTCTGCTTCATTTGTTGAATACCTGTATTTTTTCTCACAGCAAAAGACAGACGTAATTAGAATATAGGAAAAATGAACAGTTTTCAACATGCTGAAAAATAAACATTATTCAACATGAATAATCACATAGTCAATTCAGCCCCCACTGGTTTGCTTTCCCCATCCATCTCTCACCTATTAGATGTAAATTGTCCAAGGTATGGTTTATTTACAGGTAGGTGATCTTAATCTATTTAGCATAGGACACACAGCTCTGAGGTGGGCGAATACAGGTGTACATAAAAGAAATTATTTTTTAAAACTTTCCAAAATACACCAACTTAGAACTATTTCTAATCCTCTAGAACTCTGGAAAACACTGCTCTCCTCCAAATTAACCAGTTGTCACAGTCTACTATAGATACATCATTCAGAGTCATCAAGGAATACAATATCATGTTCCTTGATCCCCCGTTTATGAAGCTTAAACCCATTGCTTTGTTTTTGGCTACATCGTGTGTGCTATGGGGACATCCACGTAAAGACAACCGGTCAAGAATAAACTATGGAGACACAACTCCTGAATTCAACAAAGAACTCCTCAGCACTAATTCAGATGCTGCAGGTATTTATTAGTGCTAGAAGGTTACATGTACTTCAGGCATTTTTAAGATTTTTGGACAAAGGCAGACGGCA